AAATAATCACAACGTAATCACTGTCTAAATAGTCCTTTATTCGTTATTGTTACGTCTTACCTTTTCGTATCTCTCTCTCTCTCTCTCTCTCTCTCTCTCTCTCTCTCTGGCAATACCTGTCTCCGGAATCGAATTTATCGTAGCCTGACCGGTCGAATACCGAGTCGAATCCACCGATGGATGATCGATCGGGGAAAACCGGTGCAACCGTAACTAAACGTCACCCCGCTGGTAGACTCACAACGCGAATATCCGATATTTCTCGCGCGGAACCCCACAAATTAAGATCGCCGCGCGTCGTCGCGGCACGCTCGACGCCGACTTGCACCGTTACCTCTCTTGGAAAGCCCGCCCACTAAAAGACGCATACAGCCGTGGCAATGTGGCAATGAACATAAATCTTGGTCGCGACCGATATCACGCCGGTTATTTTCTTTTCTTTTTAACCCCGTGCGACTCTCACCCTGGCATCTCGTGTGAAGTAGCTGCTAGAGTGAAGCGTTGTCGTTTTTCGTCGTTCGTTTAAAATACATGGTGCTCGATCCGTTATTAGCGCGTGGAGTTTCGCGCAACACTTCGTTCGCTCGCTAATTGTGCGGAATTAATTTTTGAACGGCGATCAAAGAGGAATAGGAATTCCGTCGGAAAGTAAACGATATAGTAACAGCGATGTAACAGTGTACGCGGCATCACGCGGCATTTATCGAGGTTACTTCGCGAGTGCATTCGCGAAAAAGAAAAGTGCTGATTACCCATTAATTACCTTCCGGGTGGCCGAGAGACTGTTTTTGCCAATATTCGTTTCTCTACCGACGAAAACGCCGGGCAACCATCTGCCAGTTAAAGGAATGAAAATTGTACCTCTAATTGCACACCGGGTGGCCCCAAGCCGATCGTATACCCCGAATATTGACGCCCCTCTTCGTTCCCGGCCTGTCAATGCATCCGTTGCTTGTGGAATTTGATTTTATGTCAATATTCATAATAAACGCGCCGCCGCGATCGGAGAGGTTGATGGAATATCGTTAAAACGCTCGAAATTATCAGAGAACACGTTGTAATTACCTTGAAATCTCATTACAGCGGGAGATCTCGTAAATGACGTGTCGTAGATGACATGTTCTCGGATGGGCCTTGGATATCTTCCGACAGATTTTTCATGAAATTCAGTGTTAAAGAGGCTAATTAATCATTTTTTTTTTTTTTTGAAAAAATATAAATACTCAATTTCATTATATGTGTCTGGTTAAAAAATTTTCTATATATAATCATATATATAGAATGTTTACATATAAAAATATGTAATTACGTATTATTATACATAATTATATATAATTATATATTAATATATATAATAATATATAACTATATTATTATTTTATGTATAATTATATATTTTTATATATGGATATATTTTATGATGTCTCTTATAATTATATACATACAATTATTTTTAATCATATATGGAAAATTGTTTACCGAATATAGTATTTGTATATTAGATTAAAAGATTTTAAAGAAGATTTTAACAAAATTTACATTAAAATAGTAATTACAATGTAACATTTACGGAATAAGCATCGAATAAATAAGCAACGTTGGAAAAGGCAAAGATTATACATTAAAAAATTTTATGCTTATTTTTATCGATGCAGATTAATTGTAATCTCGGTTTAACTTACTTTTTATCTTGTTTTTCAATAGATTTAGAAAAAAATCGAGGTTAAAATTAATTGATAGAAACTAGAAATTAAAAATTTGAGGAAGTATAAGTAAAATAACGTTAACACATTTTTTTCTATCAAAATCTTGTTAAGTTTGCTACAGCCGCACAATAATTAGTACAAAATCACGGTGCAATTGCATTTTATGAATGCACCGAACTGCCTTTTTGCGGGACATTACGAAAAATTTTGATAAATGATTTACGACACGATGTTGCTCCGAAATATTAAAGGTTGTTTCATCTTTTATACGTGTCGGCATTTTACATTTATGCTTTCGGTCCGAAAAGATTCCTCGACATTTACTCAGAATATTACACGAAGCGGTGAGATTATCAATAATTCAGATGCGCTGTCATAAATGTGCCTTATTATAAAGCGAACAGAGTGTTTTATAAGCACAATATATCTTATGTTTTTTAAGAGAACAAGATCCAAGCCTTGAATTTTAAAAAAATCCAAGTTTTAAACAAATAATTTGAAAAAACTAAAGCGTTTAGGGCCTTCGAGAATATCCCGTTTTGTTCTATAAATTGAATAAATCGTTCGGCCGAAATTGTGTTCTGCGCAATCGGTTCGCCAATCGTTCGATCTAACTACTATTGATTTTTAACGATGAAAATCTGGGCCTGACTGCGTGCACCAGTGGACACGTGCCCATCCGTGAAAGACGACGCCGTCGATCGTGAAAACTGTCACGACGACAGTCGCGTTTATTTCCTAGCCAGTCGTGGCGGTCAACAA